AAAATTTCTTCTAGTTGAGAAGAATCTGATATGATCAGAGTGCGTAGTTGTGGAAGAATTGGGGTAGCATCATTGATCATGAAAGGCAAAATGAATTTCAGCTTGTTGCAATTAGAGATTTTCAGATCTTCCAATGTCAGCAGACAGGCTTCAGTTATGGATAGATTCTTCTCAATTCCTTCATTCCCTGAAAAGATTGCCTCCAACTCCTCACAATCAGATATGGATAGATAAGTTAACTTTGGAAGACTTTGACAGATATGGGTAGCGAAGATAAATTTCAATCTTGAACATTTTGTCAAATTTAAATGTTTAAGGTATTGAAATGTTGGAATTTGTTCTTCAAGCCCAGTTTGATAGTGGAAAATGGATTCTACTCCATAGATATGAAGATCATTCCTTAATTGATACCCCTTACGTTCCTGCAATTGCTCCGTGAAAAAGGAAGAAATAGAAGAAATGAAAACCATTAACATATTTCCAAAAAAAAAAAAAAACTATAAATCAGGATTTATTTAAAATCTCTAGGTACATGTATTATTCTTAAGAAACAGCCATATCCATATATATCTGAAAATGGAGTTCACAATGAAGTTTGGGAAAACATTATGATGAGGGACCTATAAGAGTGAATATTTATTGTGGGCCATAAAAAAAGATAAATAATTGAACAACCAAATGCTAAATAACAAACAATAATTAGTTGCTAGTTCTCACGTGCAAAAGAAAATTTAATTACGTGAAGAAATATATTTTTTTAAAAAAAGAACTTTAGTATTCTTAAACATATTTTTAAATCTAATTAAAGCATTGGAAAGCAAATTTGTACCATATTTGGACAACATTAAAGTTTTTTAATGAAAAAAAAACCATGTTAGGGATTTTAGTAGTGAGGATTAATCACTTATTTTATTTATAATTTAGATTTTTTCACAATAAATTTTGACTCCTTTATATCATTTTGTGTAGTTTTTCTAAAAATTAATAAATATGATATAAGTGTTATTAACGTAATTATTACAAAAAAAGATAAGGATAGTTTAAGAAATGATGAAAATAGAATTGTATATCTTCGATTGATATTGGTGACTGAATCTTTATTTGCATACCATATGGTACCTTCAAAACCAAGAGCACACTGGGATTGAAAAACAATGGCATAGGACATCATAAATTTTCTTGACACGAGAATAGCATGTTTTTAAAGAATATAATGCAAATTTATGTGTCATTTTCTTATTTCAGTTCTCATTTTAAATAAAAAATAGCATGTTCTCATTTTCAATAGGTATTCACATAAACACTACTTGCTATTTCAAACGTGCTAAAAAAATTTAATTATGTGAACAAAGATACTTAAAACAACTTTAGCTTTTTAAACATTCCTTATCAATCAAATTAAAGCATCGGAAAATAAATACATACCATATTTGGACAATCCTCCGATACTATTTCCTTTATAGATGGGCACCTTGGGTGATACTTGTAATAAACCTAAAATTTAAATTAAATAAATTCCCTTTCAATTGATAATTAATTAATTTTAATTTTATAATAAATAAAGAGCAGCGATGTATTGGAATTCATATTGGATATTTATATAGAGGTTTGGAATTTAAATTTTATTTTAGCCAAATGTTAGTTTATTTTTATTTTTATTTATATGAAAAAGTACTAAAGAGTCCTTTTTTTTTATTATAGAAATATTATAATAACAAAAATTGAAAGGGTCTTCTTTTAAAATTTTCTCAATAAACTTTGGGTCTAGTTTTGTAAATTTCCTCATGAGTTTATTATTTGAATTTCTTTGTAGCTTCTTAATCAGTGCAGCAGGCAGAAGAGAGGGGGAGAGCTCACGATTTTTTTTATTTTCCTCTCCTTCTTTTTCGATCGTGTTTTAGGACCAGAGAAGTCTAGAAAACTCTACAATTTCTTCCGTCTTCTCCTTCTCCCCTGCCATCTCTAACTGCTTGAGGTGTGTGAGTGAGAGAGTTCCAGCCATTGTTGCATGGGCTTCGAGTTACCGTCTCTCCTGCTTCTCTTTCTTCAATCCTGTTTTAAGCTGCAGAGAGGGCCAGAGATCAAAACTCTGGACTTGTCCATAGTGTGCTCCCTGACTCTGCTTCTCTCTACTATCCTACCCTTGCCGCCGGCGAAGTGGGAGCTTGTCACTCCCGTGCGATGCCAGGCCCTCAGTCGTGCTCCCTGTTCTTGTCTTCCTCGGTCGCTGTTGTCTTCACCGTTCTTGTTCGCGTCTTGCTGTGAACGTCTGTGTGCCGTTGGATTCTTTTTCATCCTCTTTCATCTGTACGTTGCTAGTGTTTGTGTGAAGCGGGATATCTTTTGCTGCTGAAGGCCGTCGGATTCTTCCACGTCTTCCCCTGTTCGTGCTGTCTCTGTTATGGTGAAAGAGTGAGAGCATGAGGAGAGAGAGTGTCTGTTTTTTGCTTCACCATTTCCTGTTCATTTCTAATTTGCTTCTCTGATTCTTGCCGTTGGTATGCGTTCTGGGTCTTCACCATAGATTCTCCATCTATGCCGTCAACTTGAAGTGCTAAGCCGCGTGATTTTTGTTCTCCTCTACTTTCTTGTTTGCTGGTCGTGCGAGCTCGTGTTGTGCGTGTGTTCTCAGCCTTCAATTTCCTTTTTCTTCTCAGCTTGGATGTCGAGTTTGTGTGTAGTAAGTTCAGCTTCTCTTATTCTTTATTGTTGTTGGCTGTTCAAACTTCAATACTTCATTGATTGTCGATCATTCTCCCCTATTTTTGGTGTCACTACCATGCTCATGATGCTGGACAATATTTCGAGTCTGCCTTTTAAATTCTCATATGCTCCATAGATGGGTGAATACCACCTGTCTTCTTCTTTTCCTCGGCCAGTTTGTACATGGATATTGGAGTGGATAAAAATTTGTTCTTTTCCATTTGCTCTGTGGCTGTGCATGAGCAAGGATAGGAATAGTGTTGAAGTAAGTTTGAATTGAGGATTAGGAAGCTTATTTTGAATGGCAATCATGCTTTAAGCAACTTGTTATTGTAAGGGAAAAATTTTGATTATTGTGGCAAATTATATGTGATGGTTGTACTATGATTAATAAAAATTATAGACCCACGCACACTTGATTAAAATTTATTATAAGAATTGGAAGGCAGATTAAAATCTAATCAAAGTGTCAAATAGAAAGGTAGACTTAGAAAGGTAGACATGTAAAGTATTGAAAGGATTAAAGAATCTGATATTGGGTTGATTAAATTATAATGATTTAGAGTTCGATTGGTTATAGTGTTACCAATATTGGAAGATAATTTATTTGGCTAGAGTAAGGTCATTAAATTATTCATCACCTTGAATAGGGTGCTTAGAGGAAGGGAGACATGGATGAAGTCGAAAGAAATGGATTTTGGTTCTTGGGCATACTAAAGGTAAGTGGATAACGTCCCAACTAATTTATCAATTAATTTTTCTTATTGAAATTTATATTGTTATATTGATTATTTTAATAATAATTATGTTGATTAGTGAATACTTTGCTATTAAATTTCTTCATTTTTAAGTTTCAAAATGTTGGTGAAAAACGATTCATCATAGCATATGAATGTTTTACCCCTTATGAGATATCCTTTCAGGATTAATAATTTTTTTTTTCATTAGCATTGGCAATTTTTGATTATTCAATAAATGCAAGTATGAGCATTGGATATAAAATTTTATTTTGACAAGTTTTAATGTTTAAAAGTATTTATGCGAGTTTAATTTGAGAATGAGAACTGTATCTTGAAAGTGATGATTTTCTTGCATGTTGGAAAATGGTTTTAAAAAGGGATTTTATACAGAATACTGGTTGCTAATGGCATTTTTGTTAGCCCTTGACGTGCCATGGTACACCTAGCTAGCAGGGTATTTATAGGAAGTGCTAGCCTCGTGCGATGGCCAACGCACGTGGAACGGAGGGATGATTATTCGTGAGCATCGTACCCACGTTTGTTTCATAGCTTCGGCTGTGTTTGGTTAGCATTACTTTTGTGGACTGTGTGTCCATGTTTGTTTCGTAGCTTCGGTTGCATTTGGTTACTTACTCTTGTGGACTGTGTGTCCAAATTTGTTTTTGTGGCATAAGCCGTGTTTGGTTATTTACCCTCATGGATTGTGTGTCCACATTTGTTAATTGTTCTAATAAGTCCCTATAATTATGAATCCAACTATTTGATGATTCCATTGATGTTATTCGGTAATTTTTTTATAAATATTTATTTTATTTATGTGCTTCTTGGAATCAAGTCCTATTAACATTTTCCATGATAGTTTAATGATTTAAGACTTAATTTTACAATTTTATAAAGCTATTCTATTTTAAAGTTTATTAAATTTTTATGAAAGCTATTGTCTCTTTGACTCACACAATTATTTTAAAATTTTCATTTTTATTCATGTTCTATTATTTATTGTTGGGACGTTATTCACTGAAAATTATTATTTTGGTCTCAGATATGTTAGCTGATGTTGTGCCTTCTGCTAATCCTTGAGGGGCTATAATATTCAGTTGAGATGCAAAGCTGTAATCAAATTTCTTTAAAGTAAATTTCTTATGTCAGATGCTCCACATAAGCTATAGTTAGGGTCCTCATCCTTATTATTTATATTTGTTGATTGGAAGAGAGTTCCTTGCTACTACTATTTTTTTGTAAAATATTTGTAAATTTGTTTTGGAGATTCTATTTTAAGGAGAGATCCTATTGAAATTTTTACAAAAATATTAAATCTTTTGTTCACATAGGTTATATTGAAGATGATTTAACTTATTATAAATTGTCTTCATGGTTTATAAATTAGAGTTTTTTTGAGTAAAAACTTTTGGGATATGAGTATTATCCCTATATTCTATGCCGAACATGTCCTATTTTCGGGGTGTGATAATACTTTTCAGAGCAAATATCGGCAACATTTGGAAGATTTTCTAGATTGATATATTCTAAGAGAGGAAGCACTATTTGAGTCTCAATTCAATCATGATCAGGTTGTTCCTCACTGTTTTCACCAAATAAAATTTTCATATGAGGAGCATCACTTATGAATAGCCTCTGCAATTTCAAAAGAGTGCAAGCAATAGAGACAAGGAAGAGTGATGTCAACAAAGGACATCCAGAAATTTTGCGAAATTTAAGATTGCCTAAGTTGCAATCATTAGGGAACATGTGAAGCAAATGAGGGCAATCAGATATACATAGTCTTTCTAGCTTTTGGAACAAGCTAAGAGGAGAGGCTAGGACATAGTTGTTTTGGATTATCCATATCTGTAAGCTCCAACTCATTCAATCTTGGGACAATTACATCTTCATGAACAGTAGTTTCATCCACAATGCATTCTATCTCTGACCAATGTTGAAGATAGAATTAACTCATTCATGCTTCTCATAGCTTGAAGCATATTAGGAATGAAACTTTTGCAACCTCCTTGAAGCTCATAAAATTGAATTGCAGTTGCCCTTCGTGTAAGATCTTTGATTATTACACCTGACATAGAGATATTTAACTGAATCAAGCATAAAGATCTTGTGCCTTCATTCCAAAATTCAATGTCTTTGCCCCAATCCCCTATTTGTAGCTCGTACCTTCTCAATTTTTTCATAGCAAATGTACGTAGAAGGTATTCATAGCAATTTGTGTTTCTTAGATGGTGGAAGTGTGGATAAACGTACAACTCTTCAAGCTGTGAACACTTTTCAATTGCTTTATAACAACACTCATATGTTGTACATCTTGATAAATCTAACAACTTCACCTTGTTTAATTTTTCAATTCCATTTGGTACTTTTTCAAATTTACTACCCTGCAATTCAAGAATTTCAAGTCTTTTAAGGCTTACCATAAAAGAGATGTCTCCTAAATCCCAGTTTTGCAACCTTAGAGTTTGAAGATGAGACAATTTTGGATTGATCGAGGCTTTTCCATGAAAGATTAATATTTATTAATTATAGCTAAAACCCTGAGTCCTTTTATACCTTCAAATGATGCAACCAATAAATTAGAGCCTTTATTCTATTACACGGTAAATTGAAGGCTTTTGTTGAATCTAACAAAAGAATCTTGAGCTTAGGAGCATCCAATTGAGAAGCAAAATGAGCTAATTCATTGATGTTATACCTTGAAGCTACTGCATAGCGATCTTTTACTCCTTTATCATCAACCAATTCATTCAATTCTTGTTTGCAATTTACCATAATAGTATGATCCTCTTTAGATGCAATCCATAAAATTACATCGCAAAACATGTCATGCATTGTCACGTAATCTTGTTTGATCACATTGATCTTTGAAAAATGCATCAGCAATGAGAACTCAATAAGATTATTTATAGCTGCTCTAACATAGCTCCTTGCTATTTCAAATGAGTCTACATCTCTGCGTAGGCCTAGCCCCACTCCATTTCTGAAAAGATCGTCAATGACAATTTTATGATCTTCAGGAAACATAGCACACATTAACAACAATAGCTTAGCTTCCGTTGTTCCTAAATAAACATAGCTTAATTCAAGATAGGCAAAAGCACCCCTCACTCCTTTATCCACATTGTTTTGTTTGGCATTCCTCAATCTATACAACACTACTTTTATCTCATCAACTCCTTTTCCTTTCAAGCAAGTTCCCAAAGCTACAATTGCAATGGCTAGTCCCTTACAATATTCCTTAACAACTTCTCGAGCCACAAACTCTTTAGTAGCATCATTAGCATTAGCATGAGTTTGAAACAAAGTCCAAGCTTTATTTTCATTTAACAAATGAAGATGGATATGCTTTTGGCAATCCATCAAAGTGCATACATCTAGGCAGTGTGTGGTTAGGACAATTTTGCATCTTCGTTGATGATTTCCCCCAAAGGGAATCCCTATGTCCTTAAGATTCAACTTAGCCCATACATCATCTAATATTATCAAAATCCATTCTTCATTTTGTAATCTTAGTGTTATTCTTCTTTCCCTTCCAATTTTAGATTCTTCCTCCAATTTAAGTCCGAACATGTCAACAATTTCACCTTGAACTTTTCTTATATCAAGGTTTTGAGAAATTATAGTTTTAACAACTCGATCAAAGAGCTTTGATTCTTTGGCTTTCTTTCCTACTTCTGTCACCAAGGCAGTTTTCCTTGAATCTCCCATGCCCCATAGCCCAATTATGGAGTTGCCATCATCTTTCAGTGCCTCCCACAATTGATCAAAAGCCCTTTGTGTAGAGTTGAAGAACTTAAAGTTTTGAGAAGAGTGATATTCTATATCTGGAATAGTAACAGGATGAGACAATGAATTAAAATGATCACTCTTTGTATTTAGCTCTATCATCCTACGGGTTGTCTTAGCCAACTTTTTGTTGAGACAATATCTCCTCCAAGTGGGACACCACCTTCGAAGGAAGCTATTGGTGGCCTTTACCTCTTCCTCCAAATTCTCCAGCTCTTCATATCATTCTTCCACTTGTCAACCTCATCATCAATCCTCTCAGTCCTATTGATGGCCTCTTGAACAAGTTCTTGGACCCTCCCTTGCTTGAGTATGAGCTCCTCCTTTCTAATCTTAACATTTCTGGTGATTTTGCCGACACAAAACAAATATTGCAACTATTGTGAAGTTGGATGGACCAAATATTCAGCAAGTTTTGATGCTACTGACACTCCGACCTCTGCCATTAATATTAATAGCAACCTAAAAGGAGACATTCATAATCACCAATTGATTAATTTCAAGGTTCGTGATGTGGAATATAAGAATCTTGCAGCATATCATTCACGACAATATCACCAGATCAAAATGAAAAGCATGGGCATTCTTTTTTGTTATATGAAAACTAAAATGGGTTAATTTTTTGTTACATTGTGGCCCTGATTAGCTCTCTAGAGATCGAGTACAGTTATTGCAATGTCGATCTAATACTTCCTTCTAAATTCTAGTATTAGAGAAATAAGTTCATTACATCATTGTTCTTTTCTAGCGGATTAATCAACACAAAAGGTGAATACGCTCAGTTCCTCGAAATTGACATATGATCATGTGCATCAAATAGAACAATGAGCCCAAAGCCTAAAAAAATAAATAATAAAATGAAAGAAAAAAAGAAAGGAGAAGATTAGTCTTTTCATATTCAAAAGAGCAATTACACACCTCGTTAATTGACTTCCTCTTTAGGTGGTGATCTTCGGCTCTTATAGATTCAACTGTCAGCACACTTCCACTCAAACTAATGACGATGTAGATAATTTCTTGAGATTGAGTAGCTAGCTAGTCAAATCAGCTAGAAATGATAAGGCTCATTTTGTAGTGCACTTCAAACAATTTTGCATTACTAATTCAAACCGGAGAAAACTATCCCAAAAAGATATATGCATGTCCATATTTTAATTTATTCTTTAAGAAAATACTTATTATTTACATCCAAAAATTATTAAAGCCCCTATCAATATGAACAAAGGGTCAATTAACCGAATTAATTGACCGCCAGAAAAGATGTGATGTTCTTTTATATTTTTATTTCTTTAAAAAAAATAGAAGTTAAATATTAATACAAAACTGTTAGAACATACATCTTTCAAAGACGTGAACGGTAATTTACTCTAAGCATTATTATATCTTTCCATTCACACAGTAGTGTGCCTTGCACGTTCCATGAGAAGTTGCGTACGTACTGTAGATCCGAAGAATATGTCACTTTAAACGTAAATTAATACGTAAAGGGCAAATTGAGATAGTTAAAGAATCTAATGAAGCACCACCACTGGATTCTAAACCAGACTTAAATCAATAAAAGCAACGGTTAAATCATCAATACTATCATTTGAACGGTCACGTGGCGATAAACGACGATTCATTCTGCGGAACCGCGAAAACATTCTGAAATTAGCTTCTCGCTGGCTGGCACACCCAAATCGACAGATTTGGGTGCCTAAACGGTGGGATTAAAAGACCTATCGGGTAAAACTTGTCATTACGCCCCGGTCCTCTCTCTCTCTCTATATATATATATGCATGTATGTATGTATATGTGCCCACTATATTCCCTCCATCCTTTTAAAAATATAAGACATTTTAATCGAACCACACCCAATAACATAATTAGTTAATTGTCTTTATATTAATTTTTTTTATGTTTGCCCTTATTTATAGTGTGTCTCACTTAAAAGTAAATGGTTTATTGGTTTTACACAAAAAAGGCGATTATTGGTTTATTCATCAAGGGTCTTTTAAAAAAAACTCATTAATTACACATTAAAAGCTAGAAATATTTTATATTTTTAAAATCTAACCTCAAAAAAATGTTTTATATTTTTTAATGGTTTGACCCTGTTTGGATATCCATAAAAAAAAAGATTATGAAAAAAATCAATTAATATGATTAATTTTTAAATACAATTGATTATATTATATGGAAAAAATTACATATAGGTCTTGTGGAGTAAACTTTTTTATAAATAAGTTCTGTAAAATTTAAAAATCACAACCAAGTCCCTTGAAACTTGAGTGTAATTTAAAATTAGAGTGTAAAGACAACACTGTGCTTACTAATTATTACTCCCTCCATTCCTATATATAAGATATTTTCTAAAAGTTACACTTGTATTGAAAAATGAAATAGATTATTAATTGTATGTTTTCCCTACCACTATCATGATATTAATTATGATATTATTAGGGATAAAACTAGAAAATTATTGTGTTTTTATGTGAGATTAATTAAATAATAAACCTTTATTGGTATGCGGGTTCGATTAAAAACATCTTATATATAAAAATAGAGGGAATAGGTTACAATGACAAAGATACCTCTCTCCCTCAATTATACCTTATTCATGCTCTATTCTTTCATGATCGCTTCATTCACATTCATGATCAATTTGCCATGTTTTTCATGGCAGGATGCTCTCTTTGCCTTGTTTTTTCCCCACCAATTGAAGCCGATAGAATTGTTTGTGATCGACACTCTCTCTACCTTATTTAAACAAGAAACTCCTTCATCATCACAAATCCGCTTGTCCTTATTCTTATACTTGCTTTGCACGCCAAAAACCATATCTAAATCAACTAGTAAGATTTCATTATTCAATCTTAGTTTTCATTAATTTAAGCTTTAGTTTTCATTATTCAATTTTCAGATTGCTTTTTGATTGCTAGGTACAAGGTAATGGAAATGAGATTTGACAGTTTGCAAAAAGGTTTGAATTTTTTCTCTGCTAGATGCAAATTTCTTTTGTTAAAAAAAAAAGAACAAGAATGACTGAGTTCAATTATGGCGAAAAAGCTACATAAAACAAAGTTGATTTGAGTGATTCTATAATTACTAAAAACACATGATCAGTTTAACTATGAAATATGTGATGTTGCAGTTATAAAATGTTGTAATAATAGTTGTAAATTATTGATGAGGTAATTGTAAATACTTCATGTTAAACTTGTTAGAAATATATGATTAATTTAACTATTAGATATGTAAAGTTACATTTGCAAAATATTGAATTGATAATTTTAAATTACTAATGTGATAGTTGTATAAAATTAGTGTTAAACTTATAATGCATAATTAGTTTAACTATTGAATATGTAAAGTTATAATTCTAAAAGGTTGAATTAAAAGTTATAAATTACCAATGAAATAATTGTGTACAATTAGTATTAAACTTTCTTAGTAGCGCATGATCAATTTAACTATTAAATATGTAAAGCTAGAGTTGTAAAATATTGAAATGGTAATTGTAAATTACTGAGAGGTAATTGTAAATATATGTTAAATTTTGTTAATAAAGCATGATCGTTTTAACTATTAAATATGTAAAGTTATAGTTTTAAACTATTAAAGCGAAAATTATAAATTACTAATGAGATAGTTATAAACAATTAATTAGTATTAAACTCGTAACACATGATCAATTTAATTATTAGATATTTAAAGTTACAATTATAAAAAGTTGAAGTGTTAATTGTAAGTTACTGACGAAGTTGTTGTAAATTATTTGATTGATGTAACTGATAAGTGCATATTTTATAATTAAATAGGAGCAGATTTTGGTTTGAATTTGATTATATTTATTAAGATTTCATATCTATTTAATTAATATTTATATATTTTCCTCTCATCACTTAATTATAAGATAGAAAGAGATTTTAATACAAAATGTACTCATATCTTTTTATTTTTATATTTTGCGAAGAAAAAAAAACCATATAGAAGAAAAAGAAGAAAAGAGAAATATATATATATATATATATATATATATATATAAAGGAAGGAAACGTGGGAAGCCATTGTCACAAGGACATAAATATATACGTGGAGACTAAATATTCTAGGAAGATGACATATAGGAGACGATTTTCAAAAGAAGGAAAAAGGCATAGCAAAAGATAAAATATTATACACACACATATATATATATATATATATATTAGAGTCCCACATCATCAAGGAACAAAAGAAGAAACCTTCATTTTAACTATGAATACTCCCTTTTATCAAGAGGAAAGTCATCCAATCACTTATCTGAGTACCTTAAGAATTCTCTATAAGATATTTGAAGCTCGTAGAAGCATTTTGAAGGTTGAAAGCAAGATTGTTGAGGAGTTCTACAAATCATAATTATTTCTTTTCTACTCCTTAATTTTCTTTGTAATCATTTTTCATAATTGGAATTTTAGAATGGCGTTATTTGATTTTATTATGTGTTTTTAAATTACCTAGTTGGGATAAAGATATAGCTCAATTGGGGAGCTAGTTTTCTATTTCCTTTGTTTTGACTTTTTACATTTATATTTATGAATATTTTTACTTTTCCAATTATATTTATTTCTCTTATTCTTTATATTTATTTAATAACTAGCCACCATTTAATCAAATCTATGGGTAATCTTGATAGATTGGGAGGTGAAGAGAGAATCAAGATCTAGAGAAATAGACATAAATAACTAGGCTAGGGATAGTTCTAGAAATTTGTGGTGATTTAAACTATAGCTTCATGGTTTAATTAGTTGCTTGAGTATCGTGGGAAAGAATTCAATGCTAATTAAAAAGGGACTAATAATTTGGGAGAATATTAGCATACTTTAGGAATAACTGTCACTATGATTGATTAAAGTTAACTCAAAAGGTAGAAACTAGCAAACTATAGGGTGAATCCTAGACCCCAACGTTTCAAGTGATTGTGTTTTTATCATCATTATTTTCTTGATTTATTTTTATTCTTTTTATTTTCATCAAATTATCCATTGTATCTATTTTTCTTAAACTATTAATTATTTAAATTAGTAAAAGCACAACTTTCCTATGGGTTCGACACCTGGAATACTCTAAATAATTTATTACTATGATCTCGTACACTTGCGAGATCGATCAAGTTTTTGGCACAACTGTCGGGGAAGTCACGAATTTACTAACTATTTAATTTTTAGTTCATTTTAATTTTAAAATATTTTCCTTTTTTCCTTTTTTATGATTTTTTTATGCAATTGAGAAGTTTAGGTGACTTGAATTTGATTCTTATTAATCTAGAAATTGAACAATTTTGCAAAAAAAAATAGATCTAAAAGAAGAAGAAAGATGG